ATCATAATTTAATGGCCGCCAATATTCGAATTAGCCATTAATTGGAATTCAAAATTGGATGGAAGGGTGCTTTGTGCCGATTGTCAATTGTCAATTTTTTTTGGAAAATGGCCTATCCCCCTTTATATCAAATTTTAATGGCCGCCAATATTCGAATTAGCCATTAATTGGAATTCAAAATTGGATGGAAGTGTGTTTTGTGCCGATTGTCAATTTTTTTTGGAAAATGGGCTATCCCCCTTTATATCAAATTTTAATGGCCGCCAATATTCGAATTAGCCATTAATTGGAATTCAAAATTGGATGGAAGTGTGCTTTGTGCCGATTGTCAATTTTTTTGGAAAATGCGCTATCCCCCTTTATATCAAATTTTAATGGCCGCCAATATTCGAATTAGTCATTAATTGGAATTCAAAATTGGATGAAAGTGTGCTTTGTGCTGATTGTCAATTTTTTTGGAAAATGCGCTATCCCCTTTATATCAAAATTTAATGTCCGCCAAAATTTGAATTCACCATTAATTGGAATTCAAAATTGGATTGAATGGTGCTTCATGCCGATTGTCAAAAGATTTTTTTTTTGAAAATACGACCTCCCCTTTTAGACCATAATTTAATGGTCGCCAATATTCGAATTCACCATTAATTGGAATTCAAAATTGGATGGAAGGGTGCTTTGTGCCGATTGTCAATTTTTTTGGAAAATGCGCTATCCCCCTTTATATCATAATTTAATGGCCGCCAATATTCGAATTAGCCATTAATTGGAATTCAAAATTGGATGGAAGGGTGCTTTGTGCCGATTGTCAATTGTCAATTTTTTTTGGAAAATGGCCTATCCCCCTTTATATCAAATTTTAATGGCCGCCAATATTCGAATTAGCCATTAATTGGAATTCAAAATTGGATGGAAGTGTGTTTTGTGCCGATTGTCAATTTTTTTGGAAAATGGCCTATCCCCCTTTATATCAAATTTTAATGGCCGCCAATATTCGAATTAGCCATTAATTGGAATTCAAAATTGGATGGAAGTGTGTTTTGTGCCAATTGTCAATTTTTTTGGAAAATGCGCTATCCCCCTTTATATCATAATTTAATGGCCGCCAATATTCGAATTAGCCATTAATTGGAATTCAAAATTGGATGGAAGGGTGCTTTGTGCCGATTGTCAATTGTCAATTTTTTTTGGAAAATGGCCTATCCCCCTTTATATCAAATTTTAATGGCCGCCAATATTCGAATTAGCCATTAATTGGAATTCAAAATTGGATGGAAGTGTGTTTTGTGCCGATTGTCAATTTTTTTGGAAAATACGCTATCCCCCTTTATATCAAAATTTAATGGCCGCCAATATTCGAATTAGCCATTAATTGGAATTCAAAATTGGATGGAAGTGTGCTTTGTGCCGATTGTCAATTTTTTTTGAAAATGCGCTATCCCCCTTTATATCAAATTTTAATGGCCGCCAATATTCGAATTAGCCATTAATTGGAATTCAAAATTGGATGGAAGGGTGCTTTGTGCCGATTGTCATAAGATTTTTGTTATTTTGAAAATGCGACATCCCCCTTTAGACCGAAATTTAACGGCCGCGAATATTCGAATTTAACATAATTGCATTTCAAAATTGGAAGGAAGAGTGCTACATGCCGATTGTGATTAGATTTTTTTTCGAAAGTGAATTCACCATTTCAGAAACATTAATAGCAGTTTGTCGATCTTCTTCCTCTTTTTTTTATTTGGTTCCGTTTCTTTTCTACATCTTTCTACATTCAAGTTTCGATATTCCAGAAATTTGAAGAATCCGAAGAATCGGAAAAATGGAAATAATCGGAAGAATGTGATAGACCCAAAGGATGGGAAAATTCGAAGAAAAGGAAAAGAGCTGAAGGTTCTGATGAGTTCGAAGATTCAAAAGAATTCGCGGAGGGAAAACAATTGAAAGAACTCGAAGAAACGAAAAAAAAATCTCAAAAATTTGAAAAATCCGCAGCAGAAGAAGAATCGAAATAGTTTGTACAATAAAAAAATCAGATGAAAGGGGAAAGTTTAATGCGAATATTGAAGCATCTGAAGACACTAAAAAATTGGACGGATAATGGTAAACAATTTAAAAAAAAAGATTAAACAAATTGGAAGAATCCGCATAGCCTAAAGAATGTGGGAAATTTTATAAATCTGAAGAATTTGAACAGTTCGAAGAATCTACTAGTTCTGATATTATGTAAAGAATCTGTAGGAACGAAAAATTAGGTAAAAATCAAGAATCAGAATGGAAAGAATCCGAAGAAATAAAATCAATTTGAAGAAACGGAAGAATATGGAAAATCGGAGGAATTTTCTTTAAACTTTTTCGTTTCTTCGAATCTGTCAACATTTTTGAAGATTCTTTAATTTTTTCAAATCTATCAGATCATATAAGTACAGAGTTTTCCTATTTTTTTCACTTAATTTTTAAGGTTCTTCGGAGGTTTCAGGGTACTTTAATTTTCAATTTTTTTCTCCTTTTTCCATTTCGTCAAATTCGTTGCTTCGATTAGAACAATCAAATTCTTCGAGTACCGTCATTTCCGCGACTCCTTCCGCTTCCTATATTCTTCAAAGATTCTTCATTTTTTCGACATCTTTTCTATTTTTTAAAATCATTATTATTTCTTCAGATGCTTTTGTTTCTTAGGATGGTTCCTATTTTGTTCAATTTTTCTAGACAAATCTGCTTCTGTCGTTTCATCGAATGTTTCAGGTTCCCTGATTCTTGATTTTTCCCTCATTTTTCATTCCTACAGATTCTTCACTTAATATTAGAATTTAGATTTTTAAAATCTCACAGATTCTACAGGCTTTGCGGATTCTTCAATTTTTTTGAATCGTTTATCATTGTTCTTCCAATCTTTCAGTGTCTTCAAATTCTGAAGATTTTTCCGATTTTTTTCAATTTTTAATATTGTTATTCGATTTTATCTAATTTTTCTTATTCTACGGACCATTTAGATTTAGATCCTCCTAGTGCTGCCGATTTTTAACATTTTTGGAATTTTTTTCATTTCTTTAGACTTTTGTTTCCTCAAGATCTTTGAAGTGTTTCCCTTCGAGGATTTTTTTAAAATCTTCGAATTCATCAGATCTTTCAGATCAATTCTTAAGTTCATTCAGATCTTTTCCTTTTCTTCAAATTCTTCCATCCATCACCTTCGTGGGGTCTGGCAGATTCCTTGAATTAATTCTTCTTATTCTTCCGAATCTTTCAAATCCACCAGATTTGTGAAGATGTTTTCCGTTTTTTTGAATTTTTCCGATCCTTCGGATTCTTCAAATTGTTGGAGCGCGGTAAAAATGTTAGCAATTCTGGAAGTACCGAAACTTTTGAAAATGTTTAGAAAATACCATGACAATTTCAACATTGTCATGAAAACTTTCATGTCGCGCGCTTTCTAAATAATATCGTATGTGTGAATTTTGGAATCATTATACCTCTCATTGTCCTGGTCTTCATTTTTTTAGATTCTTCAAATTCCTTCCATCTAAGGATACTGTTGTTTCCCCGAATTCTTCCGATTTTTCATATTCTTTTCAAATTCTACGATTATATAAATATTGTCGTGATTATTCCAGAAATGTCGCTAGTCGTCGGCGATAAAGAACGAAGGCGGATGTGACGCAATCTTTCCGGGAAATATGACATGTTTTGTTCTAGAACATTCTAGAATAATCCGGAGGTTTCGCAAGCGTTCGAGAAAGAGGGACGTTTGCTATATAGGTAAGCAAATCGAATTGCGTTTCAATCAGTTCCAACAGCGTTGCCTTGACTGATAAATAGCTCGTGCTCGACTTACGTTATAAATCTTAAGTGAAAATCCATGTGAAGACCACGTTTACGTTACAATATTTTCCTTGAACTGTTTGGAATAGAAGCCTCTTAAGGTTTTTCTAGAGACAAAGAAACTTTTGAACGAGTTTGAAAAAACCAAATTTTTTCGATGTATAATTTATAGGGGTGGTCTTTCGGAGTACCAAAGGTTGAAAGGACAAATTCGCAGTCGAGTCGTTCTTAAGGGTTCGCGCCGAAGGGTCGAAGTATATTCTGTGGGAAACTTAAATGCACGTAACCCTTTCGGTTTTCAAAGACGACCCTCACCTGCGTCTTAAATTCGTGGAGAAAATTGTATTTTGTTTTGAAAGGGGGGGAGGGGAACAATTCAAAGTCACGAATTGGAGAACTTGCATTTTTTTTGCACTAATACGGATTTTTTTCCGCAGATTACGTCGCCGGAGGTGAACTTTTCACACACTTATACCAAAGAGAACACTTCACCGAAAGTGAAGTGCGAATATACATAGGCGAAATAATACTTGCACTCGAGCACCTGCATAAGGTAAGTTTTAATTTAGTACCTAGGCAGGTACCTAATTGTGCAGTAACAGTTAAGTTTTACAATAAGAAAAAAATGTGGTACACGTGAACCGTAAACTTCTCCATTACCATTTTCCGCCTTTTAACTGCCATTTCCGGATCTTTCGCAACATTTCCGGATCTTTCGCAACATATTCGTAGAAGAAAAAAATCGGCCACGCATTCGCCTACTTGCACCTCAAGCACTTGACCTTTTTGCTGTCGTTAATTAATTTTTCTTGTGTTAGAATTAATGTTTTACTCCCACCTCCCCTTTTTCTATATTTGCGCAAATTACGCACACTTACGATTTGTTTAAAGTCAAATATGGAGAGAATAGAATAGAGAGGAATTTGGGTCATGTCTGTGCATGGAAAGAATTTTATTCGACTTCTGCTGAATTTGCAATGAAAACGAGAAAGCGGAATTTATTACCTAACTACAGGATGGCCCTCGTTGTGTTAATGAAAAGCGAACCGATTATTAGACGAGGGCGTGGCGCACGCGTCCGAAAAACTGTTCTCTTTCGCACACCGTTACTCAAAACACATTGACGTTATCTGATTTAAGAGGCCCGTGAAGTCACGGTCATTGAAAGCACAACACGTGAATCGTCGTAGGTACCTCTCGTAGTGCTTTAAAGTATACGGGGCTTTTGTTGCAAATTAAAATAGAACCACCTACTGTAATATGAAAAATAATTTAAAATGATAAAAATACGGGCATTTAGATACCCGAGAGGTGGGGGGGGGGGGGGGGTGAACAGAACAGAATCTCAAAAAGCCAAGAATAAAATTTTCGTAGAAAAAGTATTAGGTTCTCAAGATGTTATCTTGGATGGTCCCTTTCCAAAAATTATCGTGTAAGTGCTATGGGCACTACATGTTTTGGGGAAGAATGAACCCCCCGCGAAAAAGAAAGTCATTCTGCATTTACCTACACCTGACGTAAGACCTTTATGCACTCGGGGGTGGGGGCGTATTCCATACGTTTTGGGCAAGAATGTACAGGGTGGCCAAATAAGAATGCGAGGTACTGTATCTGGGAACCTGTCCATCGTAGAGGCTTGCGGTAAAAAATTTATTACTAAAACGGCCACGAGAAAAACCTGGAAAATGTCTTTAAGTTTCTGCACTGGCCGCTAGGGGGCGTAACTGCAATCTGGAATCTAAAAAAGTGAGTTTTCTGTGAATTCCGCTATATTAACCTAACAAAAAAATGTCCGGTCTTTGAAGTTGACGATAATCTGAACCTTTTTTGTTTGACAATTTTTTCTGTATCTCTAAAAATGAAGTGGTGGGGGGTATTCAAAAGTTTCCGTAAAGAAGACTCTGTATCTTCGAAACGACTGAGCCGATTTTAACATACTCAGGTTAATTGAAAAGAGTTATTCTTCGGCTAGAAAAGTTTTGTTAGTTTCGCATATCGCCGCTTGAGGGCATTTTTCGACATTCTGACAGAAATGGTTAATTTTCTCAAAATAATTAAATGCACTGGTTCGATTTTTTTTCATGAAAAAGTGGCTAAATGATGCCTAAACAAACTCACGAAAACCGCATCTCGATATCTTGCTCCTAACCAAAGTTAGGGCAAAGATAATTTTATACCCTCAAAATTTTATTTTTTAAGCTAATTTTTCCAGAATTATTTTTATTATATAATTTGTCGCCCTAAGGTGGATCGATTTAAAAAATAAAGCTTTTATTAATGCACTGCAATCCAATGCATTTCATTTTTTTTGAGAAAATTAACCATTTCTGTCGGAATGTCGAAAAAAGCCCTCAAGCGGTGATATGTGAAACTAACCAAACTTCAAATAGTATAATATTTGTAGCTGAAGAATAGCTCTTTTGAACTAACCCAAGTTTGTTTAAATCGGCTCAGCCGTTTCGAAGATACAGGGTGTTCTTTACGGAAACCTTTGAATACCCCCCACTTCATTTTTAGAGATACAGGAAAAATTGTCAAACAAAAAAGGTTCAGATTATCGTCAACTTTAAAGACCGGACATTTTTTTGTTAGGTTAATATAGCGGAATTCACAGAAAAATCACTTTTGGGTTCCAGATTGCAGTTACGCCTCCTTGTAACGGTTTCACTTAATTTTATGTAAAATTTAAATATTTTTGCCGCTTTAATTCAAATTTATTACCAAAAGGATAAACAAAGTCAAGGTAACAGGATGATGAGGGTCATCTCTGATAGCAAAAGATGACCAGCCATTTGCCATTAGATTTTTGAATGGTCAAGTTATTCAGCTGAATGCATCTTAAGATTGTTAATTAAATAATTCTAAAGAAGAGCAAAATAATAAAGTTAATTAAACAATTTGTAATAATACGTGAGTATTTTCTTTCTGTAATGACGTATTCATATTTAATTATAATTTTCAGATCTATATGATAGGCGCCTCATGGCTACCCTAAATTAATTATTTAATCTTATACTATATGTTTGGAACCCAGTTCATCCTGGTAATGCATTAAATTAATCTGTAGCTGCTTGGAGGGTTCTTTTAAGTAATTATATAATTTCTATCGAAATATTAGAGTTGCCCTAGAATTGGCACTCGTAAGCAAATCAACATCTAACGTAGCAGTCAAAATAAATCTATCCTATTCCAACCATCGTCAACTCCAGCAGCTCCAATCGTCAAGGTCTTCAACCGTCTTCCGAAGTAAACCGTCTAGAAAAGGTCAGACTGTATCGTACACTTACAATCATATACAAACATAACACCATAAAATTGTACTTACCAATAAGGTATCCGAATTCTGTAAGAGATCTCCGCGACAGGTCACACCTCCATCTCACACGATCAGTCGGACAACTAAAATCAAATATTGAGATATTAACGTTTGATAATTTTGAATAAAATTAAACTTACTCACGTTGTTCATAATTTAATGGTCAAATTACCAGAACGGGCTAGTTAACGTCACGACCCTGAGAGTACTTTCCGCGCATAGCCCTGGCGCCCTTATATCATTCATGCTCTACCATCAGCCGAGCGCAACAGGGTATCGGTTCAAATGTATCCGCCATTACATTAAGATAACACGTTTTTTTTTTATTTTTTACTGTTGCGGCTATCGATTTCGACCTTAACAGGTCATCTTCAGGCTGAGCGAAGATTGCGATGCATGTATTTTTATGCATGTTTGTTAGGTATATTTTAGGAAAAAAGTAATTTTTCTACTTAACCATGAATCGTACGCCCTCTAACGGCGAAGCTAGAAACTTGAAAATAATTTCCAGCGATGTCTCTTGGCCCCTTTTGTTGACAAATTTTTTTCCCGAAGCTGTGCAATTAATGGATAATGTGACCATTATTAATGGGACACCCTGTACAACCGGAGACTTGGAAATACCTCTCAGGAAAAAGGAAATTAATCTTCATTTATGTACAACTAACAGAAGACTTGAAGCACTGGGAGTGATCCATATATTTTAGGGAAGAATATACAACATGGGGGGGGGGGGGGGGTGAAACTCATTCTATATTCACGTATACCTGACGTAACACCTTTGTGCACTGGGGGGTATTACATACGTTTTGAGCAAGAATGTACAACCGGAGGGTCTGGAATTCCATTAGGAAAACGAAAGTCATTATTCATTTACCTACAACTAACATAAGACCGTTGGTCCCACACCGGTGGGTCTTCTATACCTTTTGAGCAAGAATGTACAACCGGGGGGTCTGGAATACCCCCCAGGAAAAAGAAAGTTAATTTTCATTTACCCTACAACTGACATGAGACCTTTGGTCCCACAGTGGTGGGTATTCCATATGTTTTAAGGAAGAATGTACCAAATTACCCCCCCCCCCCCCGGTTTGGAAAAATGCCCTCAGGACCTACAATTAACAAAAGACCTTTGTGCATTGGGGCGGGAGGGGGGGGGGTATTGAATCTGACAAAGATCCCATACCCCACAAAGTCATGGTATTACGAGAAGAATAGATTGAGAGAGATCCCAACTTGTTCAACGAAAATTTTATTTAATGACATTTAATGCAGTTTCTTTACAAGGACCGATAGTTATTTTGAATACAAATCAAAAAGAATTTCATTACCTTAATTATAGCGTTTCCTGGAATCGATGACTTCCCTCAAAACTGGATAATGCAGAACGAAACTTGGATCTCCAACAGGAATACTGTCGAAGTTTTTTGGATTTTGATTAGATTACATCGCCTTGTGCAATTGATCGGGCAATAGACCGTCTATTTTTTATCGTCTGCTTTCACCCAGCTTTCCTCTCTCGCAATATAATGTAGCGAACATTCCGGAAATTTCGATAGACATCGAGGCGCCATGACAGATTAGTCATTGACGATAAAGGCGGATGTGACGCAATCTTTCCGGGAGATATGACGTGTTTGTTCGAGAACATTAAAGAAGATTCGGAAGCGTTCGGTAGCATTCGAGTTTGCTGTCGGATTGCGTTTCAGACCGAACTTTTTGAAAAACTCGGCTCGGCTCGAGATTATGGTTGTCCGGCTCGGCTCGAGATTATGGATGTCCAGCTCGAATTTAAGATAATAGAATTTTCAACTGAAGGTTGAAGGTTAAAAAATTTTAAGAATCAATTGATTTTAATAAGTTGACTAAATATAAACAAAACATTATACAGGAACCGGCAGCTAAGAAGGCGAGAGGTGACGCATCCCCATTATTCATATTCTATTGATTGCACCTATTGGTCACTGTCACTGGCTCCTCCTGCTCATCTGCGCATAGCCCGATTTCGCATTCTGGGCTGCCGGTTCCTCTATATAGGTATGCGTAATGTGAACATAAAAATGAGAGCTCTTTTTAAAAAATATTTTTATGAACTGCAAAAGCTCGTCTCGAGTCGAGCCTTCGAGCCGACTCGAATTTAGGTCGAGTTCGTGTCTATCCCTATCCAAAATTGATATAACTTGTTTCTTAAAACTTTCACTTTAAGCTTCTGATTTATTCGCCGGAAAAGTGCGCTC